CCACTGTACCCAGTCAGCACTAATTTTATACATACCATGGACAGATTTCCCAAGAATCCTGAAGACTGTGTAAGCCGGGGAGACCTCCCTCCTGTTCCAAGAATGGAGGAAACATCTGGATGCCTTAGAAAATTTCGATTTGGTGGAGTAACTACAAACAAGAAGTTAATAAAAAGAACCCAAGTTGTGGGAGTAGTGGTCATCAAAACAAAGCAAGCAAACAGTAAAGAATAATTTTCCAATTTTCAATTATTTGGATCCTAGCCAAATAAATATTTTAAATATTAACACATCTATAAAGATTTAACTAAGATACTAAGTCTATCAGGAAAAATTTTATACAGTGGAGATGCTTTCATTATACTGTAACTGCTCAGTTAAAAATCCTTCATATTCCAATTTTATAAAGCATACTGAGGCAGCACAGTATAAGAGGGTGTGTGCTTTAAACAGATTAATGTTTTAATCTTTGTTCCATTACATATGGAATTTATTAATCATTTTAAATTCTCTAACTATCACTTCTAGTGATAGTTGTAAAATAGAGATAACACTGTCATAGTTACTGTGTATTTATGTGAAGAACAATGTCTTATTCATAGTAAGAGTTCGACAAATAACTGTAATCATTATTATTCATGCTTATATGATTAAAATCAAATGTTTATTATGTGCACAATAAATGATATTTGCTATTTTAACTATTGTTATTATTAAATGCTTTAAAACAAAAACAATCTTACAAGGCTGTCGAAATGAACTGGGAGTTCGTGGGATAATCTGGTTTCTTGGTGTAGTATTTCCAAAATTTTCATCTTGAGAAGCCCGGACTTCAGGAAGAGTTAAGAAAAGTTTGCCATGTGGAGAAAAGATCATTAACCATAAGAATTAACCATAGCTTTACCACATAAAACGTATAAATAAATTTTTCAAGAACATGTATTTTGTGGCTACCTTTTTTTTAAATCCAAGTTATAAGTAACTAATTTCCCCTGTCATTCAAATTCTGATATCTTAGATTATATAACGATCTTAAGAGTTTGCAGCCAAAACTTCAAATTAAAAAAAGAAATTCTAACTATAACATAGCAGTAAAAATAGAACATTTTATCAAGGAAACATAAATATTAATCTCATTGAATTTCAGTGAGAGCATTATGTTGACCAAATAAAATATCTATGGAGTGAACAAAACTAACTTCTAAAGTATTTTATTACAGATAATGTTTAATACCTCTCATAAAAAGAAAATCCTACAACATTGATTCAAAACATGCTGCGACTGTATACTGATCCTTAAAATGCAAAGGATACTTAAGGCTCTTTTTTGTGCACTCTGTTTCCGAGCAGTCCGTGTCACCTCTGCCTCTCGGATCACAGGGGATGACATCTCTGCAAAGCCACTCCTAAAACAGTATAATTAAATTCTTTTAATATAGTATTTGCTGCCAGGTGTAGGGGCACATTCCTATAATCCCAGCCACTCTGGAGGCTGAGGCAGGAGATTCCCAAGTTCAAGACTAGCTTCAGCAATTTTGCAAGACCCTCTCACAAAATAAAAAAAATAAATAAAAAGGGCTGGAGATGTGGCTCAGTGGGAGACTGAGACAGGAGGACTGTGGGTTTGGGTTCAAAGCCAATCTCAGAAACAGGGAGGCACTAAGCAACTCAGGGAGACCCTGTTTTTAAATAAAACACACACACACACAAAAATAGGACTGGGAATGTGGCTCAGTGGTTGAGTGCCCCTGAGTTCAATCCATGGTATCAAAATAAATAATTAAAATCCTCTCCTTCTCCAAATCCTTATTCTTTACAGTCTTAACTAAAAAAAGACTTTGAGTTTATAGCACTCAGTATATCACTTTGTCCTATTTCAACACTGGAATATATAACATTGTTTTATATAATTGCTTCATGAAAGTAAATCTTTCTTCCCCTGGTGGATCAAGAAGTTCCTTAATTGAAGAAATCTCTCTCTTTTGGGGGGTGAGGATTACTGGGGACTATACTCTAAAACTCACATATGCTAGGCAAGCGCTCTATCACTGAACTATATAACTCTAGCCCCTTTACTTTTATTTTGAGACAGGGTCTCGCTAAATTGGCCATGTGGTCTCCAATTTGTGTCATCCTGCCTCAGCCTCCAAGTAGCTAGGATTACAGGTATACACCACAGAGCCTGGCTTCAAGTTTTGGATCTTAACAATGCACCATTATTATTCAAAAACCGCTAGAAAATTACTTTCTTTGAGAAGTTTCCTAATACTTCCCGTGTCGGAGAGACTTACTGGCTCCTTCATTTCTTTTACCATAGTGCAGTACAAAACAACATTTTCACTGCTACACGATAAATTCCCTGAAGGTAAGAATCTTGAAACTTTGAGGCTACTAGCATAATCATCAGGTCATTAGAAGGCACTCTATCTCATGCTGACTTTAAAAATAATTTTTTTTGTAGTTTAGATGGGCAGAATGCCTTTACTTTATTTATTTATTTTTTTAATGTGGTGCTGAGTATCGAACCCAGTGCCTCACTTATACTAGGCAAGCGCTCTTTCAACAAGCACAGCCCCAGCCTCTGCTGGAACACTTTTTAATCATAAGGTCTAGGCTGAGATCTCAGTACTGTCACTGACTGGCTTTGTGATCTCGGGCTGATCACTTAGCATTCCCACTGCCCAGCTACCACATATCCCGCCCACCTCACGAGTGAACACAGTTGTGAGAAAGCGCCAAAAAGAACGCAGAGTAGCGGTAGAAATATAAGATTATCTTTATTGGTGTCCCTTGCTCCGCCCAAGCCAGGCGGCCTGTCCTTCATCAATTGCCAAATCTCCCGGCCCAGGAAGAGTCCTGTAAGCAGCCACCCGGACCTCCCGGCTTCCTCTGAAGCCTGGTTTTATTTATTTCGTTCCGCTAACAGGCAACAGGGACAAGACTTTGGGTCCAGTCGTCACCATCAGGACTGACCTGTCCATGGCTACTGTCTTCTGCACTCAAAAACTTGCAATCGGAGCTCCAGTTTAAACACCGCGTTTCAGCCTTCCCGCTCTCCGGAAGCAAACCCTTTGGCCCGGAAGCGCTCCCTAACTAACCCAGCCTGAAAGAAAAAGGTGTGGGACAGAAGAAACAAAGTTCCTACCTGACGCATGCGCGACTCCCACCAACAGTAGCAGGTCCGTGGGCGCAGGCGCGAAGTTTGCCAATGCGTGTCTCTGCGTAGCTGGGCCGGGGCGGGCCGCGGGCGGGATTTATTTCGGACGCTGGACTGCAGCTTTGCCTGACCCTGGCTTGTGGGAGTGGTTCACACCTTGGGGTGTTCTTGGGAAACATGAAATATACAGATGGTCTGGAAGAATGTCTAAGTCATTTCCTGATATTCTTCGGCAGAAAGAACTTGGACTTGGAATTTAGACATGAGAGGTCTGTCCCACACTTCAAATGTCCCTGTTTCAGAGCACTCGCCTCTGAATTGTGGTACAACCCCAATGTACAGTTTTAAAAATTGTTTTCCACAGTTGTTGTTTGTTTCTTACCTGGTATTTTTCCTCATTGAAAATAGGATCGCTTATCTTAAAACGTCTGAAAGCAAGCATAGAAGAAAGTGCTGTCTAGGCAGAAAGTAGTATATTCTGGTCCTGAAGGAATCAGTCAATATTTTCTTTTTCTTTCTTTCTTTTTTTTTTTTTTTTTTGCCCAATTTGAAAGCAGTGACAGTTTATTAACTGACCAGATTACAAAAATAATGGTAGGTTTCTATCTACTAATAGTTAATCTAATAAACCTGATGTTATAGTGTAGTTGTAATTGTTAAATAAAAATTATAGGATGCCTTTGTTTTGGACTAAACTCCTGCATTGGGCTCCGACAGACCAAACTCATCAAAACAGAGTCACTCCTACTAAAGTTCCATCTCACTAGAACCAAAACTAAATGATCTAATTTTCTTTTCTTTTTTTTTTTTT